ATCAAATACAAACCACGCGCCACGTGGCAATGTCTCCATGGTTAGATATAGTACTTCCGAATCTGGGTCAGATCAAATAGGTATTCTTGATGACTCGTAATATCAATAGCGCTTATAAAAGCGTTTGAATGACACATCGCAAAAAAATCCAAGACAATTGCATGTTACTTTCAAAAGAAAGTTCGAGTTGAGTTTAACTATCGATTTTATACGTGCTCTTATACCTCTTCTTCTTCGTTCGTCAAAAGTTGACAGAGCGATGACGGAAAAGAGTGAACGATATAATTACGTTTGTTTTTTTGATCCGCTAGCACGTCATCTTTTTGGATCGCTGGACAACTCGTGTGATGTGGAGATATAACGAGTAATACAGAAATTTCTCTCCCTCTCGTGAAAGACGACGTAATACGACATCGGACTTTATGAGAGGTTCTCGTTAAAATAGGTGAAGTGGTAGCGTAACAAGCACGTCTCGCTTGTGCTTCAGTATAACACAAAGTGATAGTTAAAATGATATAAACTATATTTTTTCTATCTTCTTATCTAGAATATTTATTTAAAGTTTTAAAGTTTGATACAAAATTATATATATTCTTTTTAAACATTGTATTTTGTATTTAATTAGTAAAATGTTTAATGAAATTTCCATTTCTTTATTTCACAAAGATACGCAGTTAGTATTATATATTAATAAAAGTTAATATTATATATTAACTTTTAAGTTAATATTATATTTAATACTGTAAAGCAAGATATAAAGAGATAATTATTAAGAAAGTTACACGAACTTGCAAAAATTTTGCAAGTTTATATTTAATTATATTGAGAATGAGCTATTCTTCGTTATTGTTATTCTGAACATCGTTCAGAGCTGTGTTTTTTTTGTTTATGCTTTTATTTACCTGCGTCTTTTTGAATATATTACAATTCACATAGTTTGTCGAAAATATTCAAATACTTTTTTATCTTATTAAATTAATGAGTCTTAACATATATTAAAATAAATTATATATATTAAATATAAATTATATATTAGAATATATTAAAATAAACAGAAATCTTGAAAAGATTACACAGATATGTATGGTCCTGCGTTTTGGGAAACAAAAATCGTTTCATACATAATTTTGCTCGCAGAAACCGAATCTGGCCTAGGATTATTTTATCATATCAGATCAGATCTATCATATCAGATTTCCGAGATAAATGGTGTTTGGCTATTTTAATCCATTTATTTCAGAAATCTGACGTGATAGAATAATTCTGTGGCCAGATTCGGATTCTGCGAGCAAAACTATTTAAAATATAATATATAAGAAACGATTTTTGTTTCCCAAAACGCAAGAAAAAGTTAAAATTTTGCAAACCAATGTTATCAGAGATTCCTACACAAGGTTCTAAACGACTTTTATATATAATTATTATTATTAAAATATTATTTCATAGATTTTGATATACACCAAAATTTAAACTTTGTATAATATATTAATCTTTGTTGGTCTTTTTAGGATGTTATATTTTAAGACTCTATATACTCTCTCATATATTTATTAAAGTAAAAGATTTGAAGAATATTTTCACAGAAAATAACCCATGGAAACATAAAAAATGTAAACAAAGAAAAATAATTCAAATGACATATTTAAAATGGTGAAAATGATATACAACTTAGTATAATCATGTATAAAATTGTAAAATTTTAACACTTTGTTGCCTCCTTTTTTCTAGTGAATATAATTTTGTAAACTTATTCCCCTAAAGCACAAATCTCTAAAAGACTTCTCTAAAAGAGTTCCAAAGCAGTTCCCAAGTCCTCCAGAATACTTTTGGAATACTTTAAGAAGTTTTTTAAAGATTTGTGCTATATGGGTTGGAACTCTGGGGTTATTGAGATTGTCACTGAGTACGAATTCGGTATAAAAAATACAAAATTTAAAATGGCAGATCCAATATGGCGGACGGAATTTTCAAATTTCACCGAATTTACTTGAAATATGTTACTCGGAAGTTTTGAAGGTTGCTGATTACGAATCTGATGTCAAAAATATAAAATTCAAAGTGACGGATCCAATATGGCGGATAAACTTTTCAAAGTCAACTGGATTCGTTTGAATCTTGTTAATCGGGAGTTTCTAGGATCACTGATTACGAATATGATGTTAAAATATAAAATACAAAATGATGGATCTCGTATGATAGATATAATTTTCATTAAATAAAATGATATTAATTTTTTATTAATATTAATATTAATTTTTAAATAAAACGAATCCGCTTAAAAATGGCTACTGGGAGGTTTCTGGTGTTATAGATTACGACTTTAAAGCCAAAAATACACAATCTATAGTGGCGGAGCTAGTTTGATGGATATGTCTGAAAAAACTGTATGTAAATATATATATAAAGGGGTTGAATGTCTCGGCGGGTGTCTTGATAGTCATAGTTTGCTAAGTCACGCGTGAGAAGAGATGAGGGCGACGCGCCTCGGCAGCTGCCGTATTAGGCAACTTTAAAAAGTTATTTGCCGAGTAGTAATTTTCAAGCAAATCCGAGCAATTTTGAAAATTAAACCATATAAGTCTACTATATTATATCTGGCATTTCAAATTTTGCATTTCTGAGATCGGATTCGTAATCAGCGATCTCAAAAACCTCTTAATAGCAAGTTTCAAGCGAATCCGGTTGATTTTGATTATTTAATCTGCCATATTGGATTTGTCATTCTGAATTTTAATAAATTTTTTACTTTGGTTCATAATCAACGATCTTAAAAATCTCTAGATAATAATTTTGCAGTATAAGTTATTAAACAAAATTTTATAAAAATGAATTTATTCACTAAAAACAAGTTTTTAGATAGTAGTAAAAATTTTTCGATATACAGTATCCTCCGTAAGTTTAGAAATGCAGATAAAAATCAGGATATTAAAATGGATATTTTATAATAATTTTACTTACATTTACAAGATCGGCATTTATGTCAATTGATAGAGTGAAGTTTAAGAATTCATTTTCTGTATTGCTGTGCGATGAAATTTAATGAAGTCATAAGCAACCGAAGTCAAAATGCTCAATTTTATTTTAACTCTTAGTAATACGGAAACACAAAATTATAGAGAAATTTTTTCACAAAATAAATTGTATAAAAATTTCAATCCCTTATACAGAAGAAACTAAAATTTTCTCAGATTTTTTCTTGCGTTTGTGGCATATCTCAAATTGAGAACAAAATTTTCTATTTTGTCCATTTTGTTTTTATAAAGGCTAAATTACATTAGCGATTGGCGATTATAAGTAAACATTTTAAAGAGAGGTTACTTCTGCAATTTGTAATTTGAATTACTGGTGGTCTCCCTCGCATCGAGGGACTTCAATTTGACGTGTGAGCTCGTTTTTTCACCGCACATCGAATAATCGAATTTATTCGCATTGCCGACGGATAATCAACATCTAATGAATGTATGACATTTGGTCAGCAATTATTAATTGTCTTTCTACATACAGCGACGACATGATCGCGTGCAAATATCTTTGCGTAACTACGTTACACTACGACGGCACATTGGCGAGCAGCGAGTTATCGAATGCTGTTACATCAGACGAAAGGTCGCAGTGCAAATAGCGCGATCATCGATTAGCCTGGATTTATATAATTGACAGTATTCAGGTTATCTGCCTGCTTGATAAAACAAAAAAAGAGAAGAGAAAGTGAAGGATACTGAGAAGGGGGGGGGGAGGACAAGAGGAAAAGGGAAACAAACATCAATATAAAAAAACTGTAGATTAGAACTACGTTGATATATTTTTTAAACAAACTGATTGGTCGGCACAAATGTGCTACCAAGCATGATTGATTGATAAATTCAGATGGAAGCGGAGCGGCGAGCGAGAATATGTCACGTCATCATGTGTTACAATGAGATTTTCGGAACTTGAGTCGGCAACAGTGTGTACCATGTATAAAAAGAAACGAAGACAAGAATGAGGGAAGAGCTAGAGAAAGAAGGGCGGAGAGAAATAGAGAGAGAAAGAGAGAGGGGGAGGGAAGAGAGGAAGTTCAATAGTTCAATAATGTTTGTCGGACGCATGTAAAATATTTCAGCTTTATTGTAACACAGATTGTAGAGGTGGCTATGTAAAAAGCGTGGACACGTAAAAAAATAAAATTGAATAGCTCTTTTTGACATTGAATCTGGTATATAGCTCTCTTAAAGGTGTGCTCCTAAGATTAAATTTTATTTAAGTAAAATTATTTGTTCGCATTTTTTAGTGCATAATGTTTTTATGAAAATAACAAATACTTTTCTTGATTTGCACTCTGAGAAAGTGCAAACTTTCAAAGGTCTAAAAATTATTTTCGGAATTGAAAATCCGAAATTAAGGCCGTGTTAATTTTTATTGGATTCGATTGACTTTTGAGATTTAAGGGGTTTTTAACAAATTCAACGAACAATACATGGACTCGGAAATCCCGAAAAATTTGTCAGTTCCGGCAAATGACATCTTAACTCGTAAATAAATGATTCTTTTGATATCAAATCTTTTATTTTTATTTATAAGTACACTTTTAAACTATATTTTAAACGTAAAATAATAATTTTTAACTTCTCACCACATGAGTTAAATTCCATACTTAAAAAATTCTTTACGTAATATGATTTGAAGGAATATATGTTTGTTTATGTGTTTGGATCAGTTCGACCTCCATGCGTTTGTTCACAAATTAAAAAAGACTTTCAAGTCAAAAGTTTATTTGAAAAAAATATTTTAATCACTCCTATAATGAAAGTCTGTTATATAAGTTCTAACAAGGCTGAAAGCTGACGGAATGATGAAAGAGATCGAATTTTCTAGCGAAAGTTCCGACAGTGTTCTTTCCGTGTTACGACATTCATCGCGTGAGACGTTGTTGATTCTCCCTATATACTCCACATTCCTTTTCCGTACTCGAACACTGTCGGAAAACAGTCGCGGCGCAATTGACAACGCATAGCATTTACCTGAACGCGACCCATCGGCGGCGACACCACCAGGAAGATTCTCATGGTGGCATTGAGAAAGTCATCAGGATTGCGGTTGGTCTCCTGCAGAGCAGCTTCGGAAATGCTCGAGCTGCTCTGGGCGGTCTTGCGGCGCACCTTGCGCCGTATGCTGCCGACTAGTTTTCGCCAATCCTGGCCGGTTGTGCCGGTACCACCGGACGATACGGTACCGGCACCACCCCCGCCCCCGTAACTGGCCGCATCTTGGTCCGCTGCCGCCGCTGCAGCCGCCGCCGCCGCCGCCGCCGCCGCCGCCGCCGCCGCTGACGACGACAACGACGACGACGACGACTTTGAGGGACTTAGGTCGCGGCTGGAACGTCGACTGAGGGTGCCGCGGCCCGAGACCCCGGATGCGGACACCGTGGTGTTGCCGGCCACCACTATCGGCCGCTGTCCAGTCGCAAAGCAGCTGATGGGAATTGTGTTATCACTACCGTCACCGCCGCCGCCTCCGCCGCCGCCGCCACTGGGCCCGCTGGGGCCGCTGCTCCCACCGCGGCCGTACGTGCCAATCGTGCGACGTCCGACCGCACCGCCGCTGCTCAGTCGACGTACAAGACCACGTAGACCGGTCTTCCGGGTCGACGGGTCCTCTTCGGCGCGTTCACCCGGCGTTTCCACTCTAGGGCTTGTATGGACACTGTTCCCAAGAGATCGCGATGACTTCTCGACGACTGACTCTTCTTTTGCTTTTCTTTTTTCGACCAATCGATTCTCTCTTTTCAATTTTATCCTTTCCTTTACGGTAATATGCGTTTATTCGGGGAAGCGAAAATGCGGATGCCGTGCGGATTTGTCCCTGTCGGTTATGCGCGCTATGCTTTACACCTTGCGCGCGATCATTAAAATCGCACGTCTCTCAGAGTGGATTCTTTCCAATAGCTGTTTTACTCTTTCTGCGGTCGTAAATTTTACAACTCTTTCAGCCTCGCTGCACGAGAGAAACGCGAAAAAACCGATATATTTGTCGCGACTTGACGTGCGGTGTGTCAGGCGACTCAAATTATTCATGTACTTCCTGAGCTTCGATTAAAATTTGCTGCCGCCGGTTTCCCGCGAAGTTTCCGCTCAATGGAGCATCGTTCTTGCTAGCTTTTGTCTTTCACTTATGCCCTCATATTTACGTGAGTTCGTTGCAAGGAATTACAATAATTCTATTCATCTCGTGAAAACATGCAACCAGTATACTTTTTGCTGTGATATTTGATGCTTTGCAGCATCTAACAATTGTTAAGCTGATTGTGACGCACGATAGTATATGATACTTCCCAACGACTCGACTTCGTATGTCGATTTGTCGTAGCAAAACGGATACGTGCTGTGGGCCTTGAAGATTACGGTATTCCTACTAGTGCAGGTAGCGGAAACGTGGAATTCCTCTCGACCAACGTTTTCGATCCGTTTTCTTTGCTTTTCGCTTCTTTTGCAGTGCGTCGCTACCGCGAGATCCGGTTTAGCCGAAATAGCCGCTGGGAAGTCGCAATCGCCGAGGCGGAGAGTGTTCCCGAGTTGGTGCTTAGACCGCGAGAGAGAGAGAGAGAGAGAAAGAGAGAGAGAGAGAGAGAGAGAGAGAGAGAGAGAGAGAGGGAAAAAGAGAGAAAAATCAGTTTTTTTGCCACGCGGATTTTATATGGAATCTCGCTGACAAATATTTATAATAACATAGTTATTACTCTGCCCATCGAATATTATTGAGCGGGATATCCTCGGAAAACAACGTTGAACAAACGTTCGTTGTCGAAATTTTCCATTTTGCACGTCGAAGTTCACGTCTCGGAGATTACGGTCAGAGCTTCGCTGCTACTTCTAGGACATATTCTTTATACTTGTTCTTATGAGAAGTCACGTTCCGCCTCAAATGGAAGGTTACATCAGGCGTACGTGGCGGATGGTCACGCTGGTATCGTGATCGCGGCTGGATCGATTCTGTAGGTTATCCACTCGTCGAGAATCTCGGTTGCTGCTTCACGTATATATGTATTCCTCAGGGACAAGATTCCAACGGATATTTAAGTACGTCCTCGTCGTCGTCGACCACGTATCGTGTCGAACTGCTCCGCGATATTCAATGGTAACACCTGTTTGTCGCCTGGATTACCTCAACTCTGAGCTTCTCATCTATGTATTACATAAGCCCGAAGCTTATTGGAGCTTATGTGATAAATGATCGAAGGAAATGCAGGAGGAATGCCTGGAATCACGCCGGTCTTGTTATGACATTCCTTCCGATTTAATTCTGAAGCACTTGTTCGTGACACTCCAAACCAGTTGATAACATCCCTGGCTTTTTTGGTGAAAATTCCGATATTTGAAGATTATGTTATCGTTATGAATAAATGATCAATTCAATTAGTGCGATATAGCACACAGATTCGTTTGCATCTTGTCATTCTCACGCACACGTTTCCGAGCGGGAATTCGTGAAGCCGGGATCGTTATTATTAGAAATTACGCGCAGAATTCGAGCACCGATTCCACTACAGCTCGATGAACTCGTGTTCGCATTAATCTCAACGGGATCCACTTAGAAACGCGCGGAGATCACCGAGAAGGAGAAAGAGAGAGAGAGAGAGGCCCGTTGCTTAAATTACTTCGCCCGGGCATGCCGGATTACGTTGTGTATGACGTTATCGAAAATTCCAACGGGATCCGGATTAGTGGTATCCTTGATTTCGCCCCGCGTCCCACGTCTCCTCACGTAGGAGACTTTGCCGTGCGGGTCGACACGCACGGCCGAATCGACTGTTTGTAACTTTAATTGGAGCTCTCTCCGCTGAGTTCGTCGATGGATCAGTCGGAAAAAATCCACGAAAGAAATTCGTCGTACTCGTTGAGTCCGTTTAGAAATTGTACGCCCGAAGCGAAGCGCGATATCAAAGCGGACTGAAAAGCGCTCCATCCATTAAGCGCGCGGCATCGCGAGCTTTTGTGATTTTCTTCTTGTCCAAATGCCTTTTGTCCAAATGTTTCTCTTTTTCTACGAGAAATGATTTCAGAAATGATATGTCGTGATAACAAAGGAAAGCTAATTTGTCGTTTATTGAATAACAGGTAAGATTGTTTCGTGCTGCATTTATACTCTCCTCGTATTAAATGATTTTACAAAATTTTGTGCTTCAGCTCTTTCATCGTATTGACTAATATAAAGATCTTATATTTGTCTTTTTTCCAGGACGGAGCGAGATTGTTGTCAACGTGAGAGCGCGAGCTTTAAAGAAATCTGGTTTTCTGATTTCAGCAATTAGATGCGTCGTTGAGGTTTGCGTTGGGATCCGAGTGGCTGCAGCAAGCAAGTCGCCGCTGCCGTCGTCGTCGTCGTCACTTTTGAGCTTGCTAATGGCGTATAAGCCGCGAATCGGTCTTACCAAGGATATCTGAAGGGTCCTCGCTACGATAGCCGTTATCCTTTGCGCGATCGATTGGTGTGCCAAGTCGCGGAAGGAGCTCGACGCGATTCTTCGGATTTGCTTGTCGAGAAGTCGATCGAATGCTCGGCTACGACGGCAATTATCATTTACTCGCCGCGATCGCGTGATGTTACTCGTCGATTATCCGCTCTGCTCCGCGATTACCTCACTCGTCGACTACTCGTGCCCGCCTCGCGGCACGAAAGCGCATTTTTCAATTTGCGACGGCAGCCCGCTGTAATTCCCGGCATCTGCGTAACGAATCGATAGTGCCGATTAGTGAGTTTTATTATTAACGAAAGGGTGCGCCTGATGCACGTGCTAGGTTAATTTGTTATTCGCTATTTGCGTGTTAACGTTAGAAAATCGAGTCTCGCAATATACTATGATGTATTATATCCTGTTTCGTTCGGGAAGGATTAACTGTACCTCAAATTCGTACTTGAGGACTGAAACGTACATCTGGTTGATTATTGTTACAAACTATTTTTTTTACTTATATGAATGAAACATCTTTTGATTCGCACACATTGATTAACGCATTAGTTCGTTCAGATCTTTCAATTCAATATTTTTCTCTAATTGGATATTTTATATATTGTGAATCACTTTTCTGTTTATTCATCGGGAACCTGCGCTTTTATACTGCTTTTATTAACCAGAGTCATTTGTGTCTGAGGCACAAGAAGTGCTCATTTCTCGAAAGTAGCTGAATCCTCAGTTCCTTTCTCTCAACGCATTCGATAAAAGGAACAATTCACAACCCGTGAACCGTTAGGAAAGACTTTTATCTTATCGAATGACGAGAAATTCAATTAGTGCGTGGGCATAAAAAACCTTGGTTATTACTTGACAAATGTCAAAAGTGTAAGTTTCAGCGTGCTGTTCTTTTTTATTCAATTACTTCTTACATAAGCATCCTTAAAATAATAAAAAAACTTATTTTTCTTAAGAAGAATAGCAGTATGCGAAGAAGATATAGCGATATCCGATGTACATTGAAGCAATTTTTATTTTAAATTTGTATTAACGATATCTTTTTGTAGCATCTCTAATAATTTTGTATTAAAAGAAAATATATTATTTTTAAAAGAAACAATTCTTTCGTCTCCTAGCAAGTTTTCCTTAAGTTAACGATTTTAATGGTCGCAAATAATTTTATTTTTTAAGAGATATCGCGGATTAGCACAATTTTTATTATATTTGTGTCTATGCTAAAAAAGAGTACAATAATTTTTTTATATCGTATTTTGAAAAAATTATAAATTTTTAAGTAACATAGTGGATTTTACACATATCCTGGTGCTGAGGAAATATTATCAGTTGTAAATATTATCTGTTATAAAACTTGGTAATATAATAATTAATCTTATTAATTTCATATTGTTTTTTAAATTTCATTTTTTTATAATTTTTAAATTTTATATATAAATGTGTTTTGATATATCGGAAAGTTCTTTTGTTACGTAATAAATGCATGATTATTATATATAAAATGTTTTCTTTTTTTAAAAAGCTTTCTTTATGAATTTGTTATATGAGTTTGATTTTTTATATATTGATTTTATATTAGTTATATTTATTGTAACTTGATAATAATGAGTCATTAGTTATAATCTATTGTAACTTGATAATAATGAATCATGTACTTGGCTTATTTACTGATTTCATATATTTTAATTGAGCTTTATTTATAATTTTTTGGATAAAAACGTTTTGTTAGGTAGAAATAGACTCTGCATTCTTGAAACGGCTGAAAATAAAAGTAAAGGACAGAGATATGACGAATAAAATGCTGTCTCTTATACAGAACAAGGACAAGACGATATATAAGAGAAACGAAAGTGAAAATGAAATAGCACAGGAAAGAGAGGACGCGTTGACCATGTGATTGCTTCTCCTTCTTCGTTCTACCTTTCAATTAAATAATTAGACAAAGAAAACGTCTTATGTCTGTACTACTCTCTCTTACTGACTCCAACCTTTCAATGAAAATGCATAGTCTATTTCTATACATATATGGATTAATCTTAGAGTAAAAATAAACGTATTTATTTATTCATTCTGTACCTTATTTTGGGCTTACATCGACTGTAAAAACAGGATTCAATGTAAAATGGATAAACAATAAATTATGTAATTTATCTGTATCTTTCAGTTTAATACTTATAAGTTTAATCTTAATAGTTGTTCTGTGGCATTGATTTTGTTAATCTGATGATATTTTTGCATATTTTAAGTAAGTCGTAAGTTGAAACTTACACTACATATAAATTAAAATATTATCTAACTACTCGTATAATTAGAAAAAGATTGATCGTGAGTTAACATATTTGATAGAAAAAGATTGATCGTGAGTTAACATATTTGCAATTAAATGTATTGCATTGACACTCTTTATATTTATATTTATATATTATATGTGTGTATGTTTCTTGAGGAGGAAGTTAGCATGATGTTTTTATTTTCCATTTTTAATATTTCTTAAACTATATATGAGAAATTTACTATATAAAGAAATTACTGTGATATTAAAGATTAATGTACGGATATTTTACACAAATTTGAGGATTATTGACTATTCTTATTTTGAAAATATAGCGATAGAAAAAGTTCATAATATATAGTAATACTTGAAAAATACACATATACACGTATTAGAATACTTATATTTTTTTTCTGTTATTTGTGCATCTCTATTAACTAATGTATAAATAAAGAATTAATAAGAAAAATAAAAGACAATAATAGTTTTGTAATATTGTGTACATATCTTCAATTTCATTTCAAATCGACATTTTTACTTAGATAATAAATTAAATGTATAGAAATGTAATGTTTTGTTCACGATAAAAGTAGTAAGTTTATGAATAGTCCTCTTGATAAATCACTGAAAATACAACACACTGAACCTTACAATCTCCTCAAATAGTCCTAAATTATTTAATTTAGTTTTTCTCTTTCCGTCTCTCCCTTTCCTTATTTCATTTCGGATTCACATTGAGTATAAAAGCAGTATCTGATGTTGATTTTTTAAGGTGTAGTGCACATAATTATTCAATTTGAGTCCTCCCTAAATTTTTTATTTTGGCAAAGTAATAATTCCGTTAATATAATATTATTGATCTATCCTAAATGGAGCTATATTATTCATCCCAAACTATGAAACAGTGATTTTTTCGCTGAAGAAATCAATATAACGATCTTGTACAGAGCAGAATCGTTAACACATGAAGCTCTAAAATCTTTCATAAAAAAAATAAACAAATTTTTTTTCAATTTTTTGTCGATGTCATCTTAAAATACAAGATTAACACTTTATATTCATTATTATGGTTATAAGATTTATTAAATTCTATAGCTAGTATATATGTGTACAAATATGAATGTACATGATTACATATGTTGAGCTTTAACAGATAAAATTTGAAAACTTTTAGCTTGTATTACAGAATATTATTTGGTAAATATGCAGTTTAGGGCAACTATTATACTTCCGATAATCTTACCTATTACATATATTATTAAGGACACCTTCCTGAATAATACTCAAGTGATTTAAGCCATCGCTCATTGTTTATTAAAAAGTTATTAACAAATGATAAGGTAACAGGCGAGATCATCGAAGGTGAGTCTCTGAAACAACATATTTGCCCATTATTTTTAAGAAAAATATTATTGAAAATCTGTGCATACATTACATATGTATAGATTTTCAATAAAATTTTCCTTAAAAAAGGAAAGTTTTGTGAAATGTAATCTTAATAAAATTTATTTCATTATTTTTTTCTATTTTTTACGATTCCATTTTTTACATGTTCAAATTCGGTTATACAGTGGAGAAAGGAGAATTGATGCTCATGCTAACGTATCGCATACGTACCACATAGCCTAGACTTAACTCTTAAGTAGGTGCGCGTCTCGCTCAAACATTAGTGGGTATTAAGTGCGGCATTATAAACTTATCATTTATTTGTTATGAAATTCTGTAAAAAAAATTGTAAATGCGTTATAGAAAGAAGTGAAATATATTTGTAATAAAATATATATAATATTGAAATTTCATGCGTTTCTGAATTTATGTTAAATAAACCTATGACTAGCTAAAAAATTAAAAAAGGAATATTAATCTTTAAATAAAACTTAAATAAAACTTAAATAAAACTTTAAATAAAAATATAAAAAAATAATAATAGTAATAAAATAAACCTTCCAGAATATTTGAACGGAATATTACAAAATGTGATTTACTGAATTAAAAGCTGACTAATGAGTAATTCATTGAAGAGAAATATACCAAATATGCGCTATCTTGTGACAGACATGATGAATAAGGAATTCAAAAGGCCGCAATAGAAAAAAAGAAGCGCGCAATATGTGAGATTTTCGGAAGAATTAATCTTGCAATATAAAGTGCCCCTGCGCGTCCGGTTAAAGATTAATAATTCTGATTATTTTTTATTCGAAAATTTAGAATATTTATTATTGACATCTAACGCACTAACAGAATAAAAAAAATTCAAAAACAGTATTATTCTTGCAGTAATTATAGATGGCTTAGATATCAATATCTTTGCATATTTTCGATCTCTATATAGTTATCGCTATATGCTATCGACAATATATAATAAAGTAAGCATCTGTTAAAGTTAATAATAGATGCGCATAAGATTAGGTGAGATCAGATTAGACGAAGAGGCAATTTAATTATATTATCAAAATTTAAAAAATCGATTAATATATATAGATTTCCTGGCATTATAAATTGCGGTTTAAATTTTATATGGAAATCTTCGTCGTTCAATCGTTTATACTCACACGATCGTTTATGTATCCAAGCAAAAATGTATCTAGTAGAGCAGATTTCAAGACTAGTAGCTAGATAGTAATGATTAGATAAGTTTCCTAGCCAGTCATTAACTCGTGACTGGCTAAATATTTCTACTCAGTCTTTTGAACGTCAGGACTATCTAGTAACTATACTAATTACATAGCTAGATGAAAAAGATTACACAGTAACGAGATAGAAAATCATCGGTAAATCCTGAATAGAAATTGGATATCAGAATTGTTTAGTTACTGTACCAATTATAGTTACAAGTAATTTTTTTGTATCTAGTTATTAGATAATTTTTCTGGTACAGCCACTTAAAAGAAGTGAGTGTTACATTTCTAGCTAGTAGCGATGTAAGACTCAACTTTTTTGTGTCATTATTAGACAATCACTAGATTCAACTTTTGCTCGGGTATA